ATCCTCAACACTGCTGAAATACTTCTATCCCTGTTAAGAAATATTTCAATTCAGTGCTTGTCACGAAGACCATTCTTCCAATGTGGTGGGTTAAGGTACAAATGTAATAGGCATTGACTCGTTTCTATGGTAGTTTGTCCTCAAAGTCAGGCCAAGGATAATTGAGATTTTTCTTTTTCCCTTTTCCTTCAAGTGTAAGATTTAAAGAATACTACATTCTCTGTTAATTATGCTAAAAACTAACACAGGAAGTGCTAACTTTAGCACCCACGGACTAAATGGCAGCTTGTATCATGACAAGATGCAAAAGAGTGTTCATGAGGCAAGAGCACAGTTATTGTGGGGAGATTTTAGCAGCTGAACTGGGTATTTTATAACTAATAATATACCTTAAATGAAATGTGCATTAACTTGCACAGGTTAAAAGCTGGCATGAATGATTATTACTCCCTAAATCACGTGTGCTGATATTACACTGCAATCAAATCACTTAGGAAAAGATATGGTCATCCTTAAGTGACTAAATTCCTATTATTAGTAGGCACTTGGCTTCATGCTATAAATTGCTTGTGCCTGGCAAATGTGGCACATTCTGAGACACAAGATATTAGAACTACTTTGGTCTCACTTATCACTTCAAAATGTTGAAACCATTACGCAATGTTCTGCAGGAACTCACTGAGTATATCTGAAAGTCAATACCAGCATTTCTACAACTAGTAATAGAAATGGTAGTCTATTTCTCATTAAAGCCCAGACTATGACAAATCTGCATCCAAAGACTACCTTTAAGTATCCCCCTTTTAGAGGACTTATGGTGGCATTATTTAAAAGGTTTTGTTTACTTTGGGGGGTGGCTGGACTAACTTCAAGAAGCTGTAAGACTATAAATCAACTCGCTAACTGCCATTTGTGGTTGCTTTAATTGGTGAGTGCCTTGAGGGTGGGAAGGAGGACCTGTTTCCTACCTGAGCAGGATCTAAAGGAGGCATCAGCACTAAGGACTACGGACTAGGGAAATACACTGCAACCAGGTGGGACAGAGCCCTTGGGTACAAGAACCAGACAAAATGAGCTCAACATAAGTTGATTATCAGCTACACTAGGCAGAGAGCTTCTTTTTCCCCACTCTCTGCCCCACCAGGGCTGTATGACTCTTAGGGGCGAGACTATAAATTAGCACTGCTCTCTAAGGCCTAGCAGAGGGCCTGTTCATAGTAGGTGTGGAAAGATGGGAGGGGAGTGGAAAGTGTTAAGGTCTGTGCCTCAAAAAGTGGGGAGTGAATGCTCTTCTCTTGGTGCAAAGAGGCCCCACATGTCCTAATTCCACTTGATGTTCTTTCCTATACCCAAAGTAGCAATTCTGCCTATACATAATTGCATGACTGCTGGGGGGGGGGAGAAAGGAGACCCCTGATGAGAAGCTGTCTAAGTACAGAAGCCACAAAAGACAACTACTTCCATCTCTTAAATGTCTGCCCCTCTGCTAGGACGCTAAACAGGATGTGAACACCATGTAAAGAACCATATTTATGCTCTCTCTCTTCCTACCTAAGAGAAGTGAGGCATACCTCATTTTTTTTTTATTAATCATTAACTTTCACGGAGTTCTAGAAGGGAAGGAAAACCTGACATTTAGGACTTTAAAGAACAAATTTGGGTGGAATGTTCTCTCTAGAGTGAGACTGACAGCACCCGGAAAAAATAAATTTATCAAGAGGCCATCAGGCATATGCAATTATTTTCACAACCTGAACTAAACAAGTGTCTTGGTGGGCAAAGAAAATGTCAAATATTTGTCAAAAAATAATGCTGTTCAGAAATTTGTTAGGAAAACCTTGAGAAGAAGTAGAAAAATGTTCGGTAATTAATATGATTATCGTATCTACATCATAGCTGATACAATGGTTCTTGCTAGATGTTTTTCACTCATGGATGATAAACCCTTTTTGGTGGAAATAATCTATTCTCAGAATTTAACAAGTGCTTGGTGACGGTGCTTAACCAACATTTCACCTCACAAACAGCGTAACAGGATTCTAAATAATTCCCTTATGCCTTTTTCCCCCCTCATTTGTATAAATCTAAATTCTGAATAAGATTTCATTACTGGATAATTCAGCAGTGTGATGTTTTCTTAATCATGGTTTTTTGAAACCTTTATATTTTAGTTAAAACATGCATAGGTTTTGTTTCATTAAATAAAAATACCAGTGATTATTTCACTACAGACTTCATTTCAGGTGATTATCCTTAATCTGATGAAAGGCAGTGTTGATAAAGTTGCCATTCTTTGTGCACAGGTAATTCAGTGGTAATAAATGTCAGAGAATCTTATCTCCTTGGAAACTATGCATATGATTATTCGTTTGTTCATTTAACAGATTTTACCCCGTGACTACTGTGTGAAAGGCATGATGTTAGGTGTGCAGGGACTACACACTCTCAGGCATGGATTAAATATTTGAGAATATCTAAGTGCTTTTACTTGCACACGGGAAGCATAGCCTCCCACTGTAAATTGACCACATTCTGTTTGTTTTCTAGCCTTTGAAAAAACAATGTGCCTTTTCTCTTCTAAAAATGTCAATTTAGCCCTTTGGTTGCCTAATCTAAATTCTCCACTGGTGGTCCTGTGATTCATGAAGCAGGACACAGGGAAGGCAAGACCAACATTCCTATAAACCCAGCCATGCCCCCTCCCTACCCAAGTGCGTTTCCTTCCTAAATCCACCAGGAAGGGGTGGCCGGGTTCAGAACCTGGCTTGCTGGGTAGGTGGTGAAAAACCCCAGGATGGATGCCAGATGCACTGGGACTCAGAGCTGAAGCCCATGGAGGTCCTGGTCAACAAAAGAACTTGCCTGTCTGGTGTACTAAGGCCAAGAAGCATAGAGCTAAGAGAGATCCTGCACACTGTCTAGCTCTGTATCATTCTCTCAGATGACGAAATGAGACTCAGGGAGGTAGGGATTTGCACAGAGAAATCCCTGGTTACCAGTAGCTAAGATCTAAACACGGGTTTTTATCAACACTGCATCAGAATTACAGACCCCATGCCTAAGTAATTCTTATTATACATTAGGTCCAAACAGGCTGGGGGAGGGTTAAGCACTGATGCTAATTATTAGCGCCGTATCGGCTATCCTGCACGCCAGGCATAACAAATATGATGGTATGTCTGGGAATTAGAGCGCATTAAGTACTAGGCTATGTAACAATACAATTCCGGTAATAGGAACTACCGAAAATAATAAATAAATAAATAAATAAATAAATAAATAAAAAGACTTCCATTCTGTCTATCCACACGGTGCCTGTAATCGCGAGACGGTGCGTGCACACCCCGGTACGAAACACTGTGAGGTTCTGGTTCTGCTACCCTTGGCCAAGCTTGAGGAAGAGCCTCTCAGGTGGAAACAAATTCAGCGCCTCCCACTACAACACTATGAGCCATCTGGCACCGACCATGGAGAGGCGCTCGTGCGAGACTTCTCCTTTGCCTTTGTGCAGGGACTGCCTCTGGCGACCCTGTCAGTCCGGTGCCTTCCTTTTGCTCTCTAATCCCGTGTATCCCCCGCCCCGGGGGGCTCCAGAAGTTAAAACCCAAGGCTGTGGGAAGCTCGCACAGTCCAGAAGCACCTCCACGAGGCCACTCCCAGCTGGGCGCAGGTCCACCCCGGGGGCCTCCTTGCTTGACAGCAACGGCTGCATGTTGGCACTTGCGCGCTCCTCCTCCCTAGTTTCACCCGGGATTTGGCTCGGTCCACCTGCAGCAGCCAGACTCCCCGCTAAGCTCCGAGACCCAAGCGCTGGGGCCTTCACCCGGCCTTCCCGCTGGGGCCTTCACCCGCCCTCCTCCAGAGGCGACACCCTTGTGTGAAACGGGATTCCTCCTCTCCCCCTCCGATCCTCCGAGCACTGGGGGGAGGGGGAGGGTACCAGCACGAGATTCCAGGTGGCGCCTCCCGCCCCCAACCAAGCCAGACCCAAGGCTAGATCCCTAATAGCCGCGCGCTGGGGACCTCCCAGAGGAGTACCCGTCCTTTCTACCACCGCCCACTACGTAGGTGGGTGGGCGCAGAGAAAGCGATAACCCGGCCTTGAACCCCGGACCCTTGAAAAAAATTCACCACGACGCCAATAATTCAACTGGACAGAAAGGTCAAAGGCGAAGAGCACTGCCCGCGGCCTTGCAGGCGGGCAGAGGGTGATGAAATAGTCAAGAAAGAACGGCGAGGGCCGGGCTGGGGGTGCGGGGTGCGGCGTGATCACTGGGGCTGGCAAGGGGTGTCGGATCTGCGGATCCGTACCGAGGCTGCACCGGCGGCGGGCGGCGGGCGGCAGGACACAAGGGCCGGCGACCGCTCCGCCGGGTGCTGCCCGCGCCACCAGCGCATTCCTGGCTGTAGGCGTCAGGAGCGCCGCGGCTGCCTGCGCTCACGTTGCTCTCCCGCCCCAAACGCTGAATACACACGTTAACTGCGTCGCTTCGGGGATTCTCCCCCACCTCCCACCACTCCCGCTGCGCTCCCAGCGTCTCAGAGTCATCAGGTTAGTTCCTGGAGGGGCGCCTGCCGCGAGCCCGGTAATTCTGAGGCCCGCACGCATTCTCCCCCCCCCTCCATCGGGCCACCTTGGCCGCCCACAGGCGACTGGGGAACGACCTCCCTTCCCCCCGGGTCAGCCGCTCCCCGGCCACCTGGCTACAAGCGGTTCCACCGCGGAGTCACCCGGGAGGCACACAGAGCCCTTCTCTCCCCACTCCCATTCCCCCCACCCCTCGTCGTCCCCCACCCCACCCAGAAAGGACAAAACGTTCACCCAGCAGGGACCGCGGGAATCCCTCGGAAGAGGCAGAGTTAACCCATGGGCGCAGAGTGCGCGGCTGGTGCGCGGTTGGGCGCTCGGGAGCTTGCCGCGCGGGGTCCCGAGACCCGCCACGCACCCGGTGCCGCTGCAAACCCGCCCCAAGCACCACGCGGTCCGAGGACTCTCTTACCCGAAGTGTCCCACAGGCTCAACTCTATTCTTTGTGTGTCGATTTCAAAACTGGCCGTGTAATTCTCAAACACTGTAGGGACATAATTCTGGACAAACAAAATGGACAGAGACAGAAAGAGGGCAAAGAGGTTATCCACAAAGCACGACACCCGCACAACACCCTCTGAAAATCGCTTCCTCACTCCCCGATTTAAAAAAAAAAAAAAAAAATCCCACACGCCAGACACGCGGCCCCTTTCTGAAACCCCAGCCTCATCACCTGCACCGCCCTGCTCCCCAAGGCGTGAGGATCCACACCTCCCAACCCGGGTTCCGCACACAGGACCGAACAAGTTTCAGAGGCTAACAGCGGAATGTGCAGACGCGTCCCCTAAACGTTCCAGCTCACTTTCCCTTTCCCGGCAGTCTCACCAGGGGGGAAGTAGTAAGAAAGACTGCTTAGGAAAAGAAAATGGGGTGAAGGGGGCAATGCGAGGAGAAGCCCAACCCTAGACGGGGGGGATCCCCACCGGCGGACCCCCTCCCTCGTCCGAGCCCCGGCCGGCCGGCCGCACTCACCTCGGGGAAGCAGTCTTTGGCGAAGACGTGCAGCAGCGCAGTTTTCCCACACTGACTGTCTCCCACTACTACTATCTTGCATTTCACGTTCTGATTAGGATCCATGATAGATTTACTAGATAATTTCTGGCTGGCTCTTCTCTCCTTCATTGATCTTGCCTTATTTTCTCTTGGAACAGGAATTTTCTCTTAAAAGGAAAAATAGATACTTCTCTGTCTATAAAAAGCAGATATAAAAATACAACCCGAAGCTGGTGGGAACTCTTGAAGCTCCGCGCAGACGGGGGGCTGGAGGAGCAGGCTCGTTACTCCCCTCCAACAAGTTTTACGCCTGACTCCACACCGCGCTTCCCCAGTCCAATTCCGATCCGACTGCTTTGTTTCACGCTCTCCGCAAGGCTTTATACGCCCGGCCTTCCAATCCTCTTTCTCAATGAGAGAAGGAAACCGATCCGCCTCCTCCCCTTTTATGGAGCCTGGGAGCAAGCGCCCTCTCGTTACTCCCTGAAAATGTAAACAGTGCGCCCTCTAGGGTGACCGTGCGGGATCTATTTCCAGACTAAGCCTCTGGGACAACTTGAAGACCCCAACCAGGCTTTGCTGATGGATGGGACGGTGCAAGTCCAGCAGGAAGTGGGAAACGGAATGTCTGTGCATGGGGATTTTTATTAGGATTCCTTTAAAAACGTTTTAATAGGGGCTGATGTACATAAGCCTCATGAACATTTGTAAAAGCAAAAGCATTTCTCATCCAAGTTAAAACCATCATTAAAAAAACAGAGGAAGCTCTCTTGGGTTGGGAAGGGTAAAGTGGTTGTTTTGTTTTTTTGTTTTGTTTTTTGTTTTTTTGTTTTTTTGTTTTTTTTTTTAAGAAAGAAATGGTTTGTATCACGTATATAGGGCATGGAACAATAGCTAAGCCAGGCTATTTCAGATGCGGGAACTGGCTTGTCTGGGTCACAGCAACACACTAGCTTCTGAAACCTGTCAGTTTCAGTCACTCAGGAGGAGGCAGAAAGGTTTTGAAGAGTGGGTAGAAGAGGTGGGAACAGAGAAAAAAGAGAAGAAGGAGATGCTTATAACTCAGTGCAAAAGCCATTGTAAACTCAGCTCTATTGCAGTAGGAGCCCAAACAGGCGAGGCAGCCATTGCCCCAGTTGCAGTGAGAAGACCAGGTAGAGGATATCTGATTCTGCCCTGGTTTCCTCTATCTGTAGCCTTCCCTTCCCTAGAATCAAAGATGTATCCAGAAAACACAAATGTACTTAGCTGGAAAGTGCAGGTACAACTCTGCTCCCTCCACCCCTCATTTTTAGCACCCATCCCCCTACCCACCCACCCCAAAAACCTCAAAGAGGAGCAATAATGGCTATGCACTTGTTCTCTTTTCCCCATCAGAAGTCCTTCTTTTCTCATCTTTGTCTCCTGTGCTTCAAATGGAAAGGTTTCAGCTATTACACTGTAGTAAGGACATTGGTCAAAAATATTATAGGTACCTCTGTGGAGACTTCTAGGCTCATAAATGAGAAGGTGAGGTAAAAACCCAGAACGTGCAGGGCACCTGGGTGACTCAGTCGATTAAGCATCTGTCTATGGCTCAGGTCATGATCCCAGAGTCCTGGGATGGAACCTGGTATTGGGCTCCCTGTTCAGCCAGGAGTCTGCTTCTCACTCTCCCTCTGCCCCTCCCACCGCTGCTTGTGCTCTCTCTCACTCTCTCTCTCAAATAAATAAACAAAAATTAAAAAAAAAAAAGAAAGAAAACCCAGAATGTTCAGTATGGGAAATGAAAAGACACTGAAAGGGGGTTAAAGGCAGAGATGTTAAGTATTGGATGGTAAGACCATGAAGCCTCATGCATCCAAGGATGGTCTTGTCTCCCATTCAGAGCAGAGAAAAACTGGAGGTGCCCCACCCCCACCGCAAAGCAAGACCCTGCCTCAGACCCAGTGTGTGGGTGGGTGTTTACACACATGTAGGGCTGACCCCCAGAGAAAGGGATAGCTGGCCCTAATCAAGTTCCCAAAGCAGAGTTGGCCAAAGTTTTCTCAGCAGAACTTCAGTCCTCCTCACAAAAAATTGTCCTGTGTCCCCATGAATGATGGAGACACCGTGTCCTTTTCACCCCTTGAAGATGCACCGGTTATAGACACAAAAAAAGTTCTAAGGAAAAGTAGCCTACTTAACATAGTTTGACCCAGCATGCCCTATTTAAGCACAGGAAGCTTTTATCCAATTATTTGTTCTTTCATTCGAAGAGCAATGGGAACAATGGCTGGGGTCAAGATCACCAAGAAGTGGATCTGTGTGACCCTGGATGAGTTCTTCACCCTCTCTAAGCCTCAGCTTGATCATCTGTAAAATGGGAATCATAATAGTGATGATGAGGGGGTGCAAGTGAACTTTGCAGAATAGTTTGTGGCACAATAAAGAATCTCTGCTCTATTTTATATTTTGCATGTAACTCTTATTTACACTTCTTAGAATTATTGAACATATCTTGGGAAATACTGGCCTCATTAATGGGCTCACTAATTGGAACTGGGAGAATAGATCTACCTTTCTCTTCTCTCAGATTTTTAAGTTATAAGTTGCCCTTTTCTAGAGATAGGATGTGACCTTACACATTACTGAATTGACATTGTCTATGTGGGTAAGCCACTCTAACTAGCAGTAATTATGAATTATTAGTATTTGGCTGACAGTGAATAGGTAGGTAATTTGTCATATAAACTGGGCACTTTTGAGAGCAAAAAAGGTACTACTAATGATTATGTCAGAACAGCAGTTGTAAACAGGGTCTGTCCCAGGCAAAATGAGAGGTATAATCACTTTACCAATGAATAATCTGAAATCATAGTGGATGACTATTTTTGGAAATCAGGTGACCTGAATCTCCAGGAATCTGCCAGTTGCTGAGTGAAATTTAATGGCTGTGTAATAGAGTAGAAAACCAACCGCCTGAAGTTAACCAGTCTCTGAGTTTCATTAGAGCAAGAATTCTTTCCTTTCCTTCTCTGGATCTCTAGTGCTCAGTGTCTCATAGATCGTCAATATTTTTAAAAATTCATTTAGCATTTAGTTCAACAGACATTTATTAAGCACCTGCTATATGTCAGGCACATTTCTAGGAATGGTAGATATAACAATAAACAAGCCAGCTCCATTTGCTGCTCTCAAAGAGCGCATATTTCAAAACAGAGACAGACAATAAGGAAGTAGGTACATAAATAAGAATGAATGTGCTAAGCTCTATGGAGAAAAAAATGGGGTGGCATGATAAACCACAGTAGGTAGGGATTAGACCCAGTGGCTTGGCAATGCCTCTCTAAGGAGGTTGAGTCTTCAATGATGAGCAAATGAGGGCAATGAGAGCAAATCAGCCACAAGAAGCTCTCCTGAAAGGAAAGGGAACAGAGAGTGAAAAGGTCCCATGCAGGGAAAGAGTTTGGCAGGTATGGGGAACAGAAGGTGGGCCAGAGGGATTGGGGCCCCCAAAAGGGGAGAGAAAATGGGTAGCACAGCAGAAGGGAGCAGGCAGGAACTAAATAATTGGGCCTTGGCGATGTGATCATAGAATTTGGATTTTATTATTATTTTTTAAGATTTTACTTATTTTAGAGAAAGAAAGTGAGAGAGTGAGCATGAGTGGGGCGGGGGGAGAGGAAGAGAGGGAGGGACAGAATCTCAAGCAGACTCCACGCTGAGCTCAGAGCCCATTGTGGGACTTGATTTCATGACCCCGAGATCATGACCTGAGCCGAACTTGGACGCTTAACCAATGGAGCCACCTAGGTGCCCTGGACTTATTCTAAGGGTAATATGGAGTCAGACATAGGAGTGCTTAAAGCTGGGTAATAACATGATTACTCAAACGAATGAATGAATGAATGAATGAATGAATTGTTCCAAGTTTAGTTCTGTACCTGTTACTTCACTAACTGTTAAACTCTGGTGTAACTTCTCATCTTCAATGAGATTTTCAGATCGAAATGATATCTAAAGTCCTAGAAGAGACTATACGTTTAGACTGCAAGGCAAGTTTTTCCTTTAAGAAAAACATTCATTTGGGAGATGTGAAACCCCATCAAGGGATCATACATTACTTAATGTCCGTCTTTTTCTTATTCTCCCTGTTTGCCTTCCTATTACTCTATCCTTCCTCCTTAACCCCTAAGTTCAAGAGAGAAAAAATAGCAAACATTTCAAAACGGATTGGCTAATAAACCATGTGTATTCAGCATTCAGCTGCCCTAAGAGGTTTGAGCTTGAGAATTCTTTCCTTTGCGGTTAACCCTTTACTTATTAGGGGAGCCCCTCCCCCCCACCCCGAAACTACATTTCTTCTGACACACAAAAAAAGTGTTGGTGCCAGGCCTGGAGAGAAGGCTAATTGCGAGAGAAGAGCCATCCAGGGGTCGCATCAAAAGTTAGACAACAACAGCTCTGTGTTCTTTCTGGACTGTAAGTCAGATTTGGATTTTGGTCCAGGTTCTACGAATGCACTGTCTGACCTTGGGCAAACAAGGACTGAATTCTTTCCCTTAGGTTCATCCTTACAAGAGGATGGTAACATCTGTCTCCTTCACATTGTGAAATAAGGCTGCTTCGATAATCATGTACCCTATGCTTTCAGACAGTCAGAAACCCACTACAGACGTCCCCCCTTTCCAGGTTCACTGTATTTCCGGAGCTCTGGGCTCACGGAGCAGTATTGTAAGGCATACTCCTCATTGTTTATTCACAGTTGCTGCCTCTCTTCAGACTCCAGCGGAAGCTTTTAAAGGAGCAAGTGCACGGTGAGGAGAAAGCACGGGTCTCTCACAGGTATGAGCAGTAGAGCAGAGGGATGTCAGAGAAACAAGAACACGTGCAGGGTGACTTCGCAGACGTCATGTCAGAAAAGAGGGATTATGAATCATGGGCATTCTTTTTGAGAATTTAATTAAGATGGTGGATAGACAATAGCTTCAAATACATGAGGTTCACTATGAAAATAAAGGCAGAGGCGCACTCTGCTCTGGGGTGGTCTCTTCTCGCGAGAGTCACTCACTCAGCTGGCCTTACATAACATCAATAAAATGGGAGGTTTGGGTTTGTTTATTTTTATTTCTGTTTTTTTTTTTTGAAGACAGAGGAATGGAGGAAAGGTTCATAAAATTCAGTGGATTGAACTTGTTACCTGGGAAGAATTTGTTCTCTTGGAAGGCAATCTTCATCTTTATTTCCTCTTAAAATCATGGCTGATTGCCCTGTCAGGGGCATTCCATTAAGCTGTGTAGTCTCTTTGGTAAGGGTACTCCAGTTGGGTCGCAGAATTTGGTCTTGTTTTTCCTCATTACTGCTGACTGCTAATATGATTTACTGCTGCTGTGTAGGCTTAGCTCTTACCCTTTAGCCACAGGAAATGACACAGCTGTGTGAGTGTTGAATAATAAGTGATTGCCCAGTGGATCA